CTCTTTCCGATTATTTACGAGCAGTCATAATTTTGCTATCGGAAACCTTTGCGGATATAGTGTCCTTAGGGTCCCCTCGCATCTAATTGTAACCGAATACTTATACTTATATTGGCAAAAGGATATGCGAAAGGAATTGTGCGATATTTTTGTCAAGATTATCGTTCGGTAGCTTTTTCCCAAAGGCCGGGTTATTCTCGGGTCGGTAATTGCAACACAATACCCTGTGTGCGATGGCCCGCCAAAGGGGCGGGTAACGAAGTACAAGCCCGAGATAGGGCAACGGGGCGCATCGAGAGTTCGTTATAATAATCGTTATGTTAATCGAGCGTTCTCGAGTATAGGCGAGGGTCGAAAGTAAATTTCATATCCATTAACCAGCAAATTTGCTTAAAGCCTTCTGTGCCAGTAGTTAATGGTCTTACGATTTACATCACACGATCGCATGGTGTTACGCATTGCGGAAATACAGCGAATTGTGTAGCATAATCTATAAACAGTATTGTACGTTTTGTATAGACTATACAGGATTCCAGAATTTCAGAATTGCGCGTGCAATTAAAAGACGGGATTTTACATAAAATGTATTTAACTATATAAATATGATACATAATAATAACACAAATTTAAAAAAGATATTAACGTAAGATGTTTGTGTTTACGAAATACAGAAGTTTTATATTTTTTAAAATCACGTGCTTTTATTTAAAAATCACTCGTGTGTGTCACTCGAACTCTTGTATCTTACTAGATTTATCATTATTGATCGAGACAGCCATTCTCAACTTTTCCCCTTTGAGAGAGAGAGAGACAGAGAGAGAGAGAGAGTCTCGGGGGGAAAAAGCTTTCCGAAAATATATGCGAGTTTCGATCGAACAATAGGGAGTGGCGCAAAAGTTATCGGTGGCTATCACACTTCACCCTTTCTCTCTCTTTCTCTCTCCCTCTCCTCTCTCTGGCTTTCATCAATTTATTGCCGCCCACTTGCAGTTCGGTGCTAAACTATTTATTAACGCCGGCTAACTTACTCGCCGCAGAACTTTGATCTGCGTTAAACGAATTACTGCGTGAACACCATAAACTGGAATATTCAGCACTCGGTGCGCGCACGCGCGATGTAGGTCAACGCGCTCTTCCATGGAACCCGCGATTAAATTGTCCAAATGGAGTGAAATGCGAACGAATTGAAAACGTCTTTGTTGCGAAATTTCACGGCAGGAATATATTCCGAAGACGTTTATCTGAGAAACGTGCGTTCATTCTAGTCATTAAAATCGTAATGTAAAATTTTAATGGGGCCAAATTAATGAAAAAACATAGAAATGCGTTTACGTATATATATCAAATATTATTCAAATATATCATCCTTAACATGTTGGGATGAAATCTACGAAACTGTGCGAAAATAAGAATAAAAGATCGAACGATGAAATATCCACGAGTCAAGAATTGCATGTTGTTTTGTATTCAAACAAAAAATTTGGCAATACGCCGAACACGCTCGAGATATTCGAAAATTTCATCTTAACGGTACTTCCGCGTGAAATATAGCGTGAATCAATTTTGAATTTCGTCGACTTTTTTTAAAGAATTCGCCGCGTAATTCAACTCCGGTGCGGCGATTAAAATAAAACTCCACCGCAGGATTTAGCTCGGAGACGGCCGACGAATGCGGGGGACATTTATTGGACGGCCTTTAAAGGTGATTTTCCAGCGGCAGCGGTTATTCGGCGAACGATACTGGCTTTCGCATTCGCGCGTGAACATAAAGGATCGTAAAGGGAGCGAAACGAGAAGTCGCGATGTGATCGGGACCGGGGATGGCGGCACGAAATCTACGTATGGGAGTGCTTTACGAATTCGCCTACTTTACATGAAAAGCATTCTCGCGGTTAATGGAC